TTAAAAGCATAGTGAAAGGGAAGTGAGGGATTAAAAGTATAGTGAAATAAATAATGTACACTTAATGTACATATAATTTCTGTTGCACCATATAAATACAACAGAGATATTAATTTACCAGATGGTGAGCTAAAGTGGACTTATCTCTAAAAGAGATCTCTCCCAGCCAAAACAGGGCAGTTAGAGCTAAGGTTATAAGCGGGCAACAGCGTGCAAGAGAGAATGGGAGATAAATATAATAAACTACATTTAAATAAAAGAAAATACCGTTACTTACCTAGGTATTACAGTTGCGGACTGGCATGACAAAAATCTATGATAGTGACCCATTTAGCTCTTGCATGTTATCTCGAAAATAAAATATGTAAATCTAAAACAGGTAAATCAAAAATGTGTACAAATGTTTATTTTTTGTAAATAAACATTTGTACACATTTTTCATTTACCTACGCAGCAACACCTTACATACAGCAACCCCTAGAGTTTCTTACTCATTCTTCTCTGGGGAATCTGCCTTACGAATAAGTAGTAAGTTTACTCAATGTGATGGTTTCAAGTGTAATTTGCTTACGTATGAAATAAAGATGATTAAAGTTTGAGTTTAAATAAAATGCGAGAAGTATTATTATATATTATTCCAACAATCTATTTTGCCCTCTTTGTCGTAAACAACGTATTTGAATTGTGGTAACTTTCGAGATATTGGTACATTTAGTAGAAGCAGAGCTTCTTGGGATAAAATTCGTCCAGAGACGTACCACTTTACCAGTTTCCACCGCCAAGCAGCAATGCGAGCATTACTGCGTTCCGGTTTTGAAGGGTTAAGAATGCTGGTGAAATTACAGGCACATGTGACTAATCAACTTATGTCTCAAGGTGACGCGCGCAGTGGCAGTGCCCCTCAGATCTTTGCGATTGAAAGCTCGGAGTGACACTGCAACTGTTATGAACAGTGTATCGCTTACCATCGAGCGCACAACTTGTTCGATCCATTACAGAACATCATAAAAAAAAACTTTTTATTGTTTGAAAAATGTCAATTACTGTAATTTTGCTTAACAATAAAATTGATACTAAATACTATATAAAAAACCGTTTATAGAGGCTTGTAGACTCTCAACATAGCCTCGCAATAGGGAAACCCTGTATCGTGGTTGCCATGGACACACACATAGACAACCACAAATTACACCCAAACTCACGAGAGAAATAAATATAGGACATACAAGTATTTCTCCCGGCCCGGGAATCCAACCAGGGACCTCTGCGTGGCAGTCCGGCATGGTAACTGTTCGGTCACTAAAAATGCCGACTACGTTGTTTATGATAATGACGGCAGTATTGTTGTCTAGTTTGGGGAATAGTGAGATAATGTCACATTGTACCGTTTTCAAGGTTCATTTATTATTATAGCGAATTTTATCTAGTTTTTTTTTGGCTAGTAAATCATATTCCAAACTTTAATACTTGTTTTTGTATCTTTTTTTAATTCACACGTTGGTACCGTGCCTATCAAAGAAATATCAATAAGAGAAAGTTAAGACTTTTCTAGTTATTTACAGACAAACTAAATTGTTTGACAAAACGGAATGGAGCTGAGCTTGTTGCAGTAACCAATAACATTTTGTTATTAGATCATGAAACACAGCTCGTTCTTTCCGCTTTGGCAGGATAATGAGTCTTATTACCGCTACAATATGACTCGTACCGTGGTTAACTTTATTCTTAAACAAAGTTACTTTGAACCCTGAAATTGTGACGCAAATTTAGAATTTTAATATTATTCTTCGTGTCGTCAGCGGCATAAAATCAGTTCCTTAAAATTCTTCTTCTAACTCTTCAACATGTCGAAGGTCTTTCTTTTGTTATTAATCTTCGCCACTATTACCTTAGCTTTAATTGTATTTTACAACATAAGTACATAGTATGCATTTTGATAAAGCACAATAAGATCATCTCAACTGATAGCCCGGAATAGACACGAATACGTTAAAAAATCGAAGAAAGCGGGATATCTAACAAGTACTATCGCAAAATCTGTCCTCGAACAAATAAAGGGGTCTGAGATTGTGACGTAAGAACACAAGTTAGGCGCACATAGGCCGTCTTTACGAGCGGATACGCTATAGAGAAATCAGGGCTGGCAGAGTACTAAAATTTTCTCTATGTAGACTATGGCGTTTTGATAGCACACACGCCATCTCCTTCTCCAAGTTGAACATTCTTCTCACAAATATATATGTTTCACGGACGTAGTTGACTAGCACGTTAACCTGAGTTTAAAAAAGATTCCTGCTTTGATCCCTCCATCCGTGTTTTTACGGTTTGTTTATATTATATCGACAAAGACACACTTTTAGATTTCCATATACAGTTTGTAATAAAAGTACGACTGAAACATAGGGTGGCAGTGTCCATGATACCGAACATTTTTGAAAAAAGTCAACTTTTCATACAAAAATCTTTCATACATTCTCGTCGGTTAAGGGTACGACTTACGAGCATGTATAAAAACACTAATGCGTGTTGATGAGGCGAAATATTTTTTTTTGTAGCCTAGGGAAATCCTGTATCATGGGTGCCATAGACATACACACAGACAAACCCAAATTACTAACTCACTAATTACAAACTCACGAGAAAAATAAATGTAGGCCATACAAATATTTCTCTCGGCCCAGGAATCGAACCCGGGATCTTTGCGTGGCACGCCAGTAAGCTAACCGTTCGGCCACGGTGGCAGTTTAATAAATATATGCAGGACGTAATATCAAGTGACGAAACAAACAAGTCGTGAGCCTGGTGGTAAGCAACACGTCTATTCATAACAGTTGCAGTGTCATTCAAAGCTTTAAATCGCCAAGATATTATGGACACTACCACTGCACCCGTCACCTTGAGACATAAGTTGATAAGTCTCATATACCTGTAATTTCACCAGCGCCCTTACCCTTCTAAACCGGAACGTAGTAATGCTCACATTGCTGCTTGGTGACAGAAATAGGTAAGGTGGCACCACTTCCCTGGACGAATTCTTTCACGAGTAGGTCTACTGCTACTAAAATATAAATATAGGCCGTTAAATATAAATATGTGTCTTAGGACCTTAACAAGTGGATTATATTCTCTGTCTACCCCGATGGGAAAAAAGCGTGAAGTACATGTATGTCTGTATACAAAAATCAATCAGTCAGATCCGATTAAATATTTGTATCTAAAATAAAAAATATCTTTACAACAAAAAGTTATTTAGCGTTGTGGGTAGAATCACCTCATAAAACTTAACACGTGTGTTTTTTTATTTACATGGACATATTTGGGAATTGCGTTTTTTACAATTTGTCAGAGATATCCCTAGCAGGGTGAGAAATCCCAAAGCGCGGGGCATAACAAATTAATGTCCCGGACGGACGGTCAACGGGCGCTTTACGAGCCGCTTCCCTCCCTGATGATGATTTAGATGCAAGGAATATCGCCCGGAAACTGCGATAAACGACACACTACCACCCTGATGGTAACGGTGTAAATGTAGTTTTCGATGCAACAATGTCTAAATCCTTTAAAATTCTTTAGGAATTCATATTCATGGGATATTCTTCTTGAATCGGAAAGGTGACAGTCGAAAGTTGTTGATACAATAAACTCAGTATAGAGTACTTACAAAATTACCTCAGAAGTTAAAGTAAGTTACATAAGAAAAATAAATCATATCGTGGTAGGAAACCTCTAATTAGTGATAATCATTAAATAACCTTGAAAGCCTATAAGTTTTTTCAGATTTAAATTGCGAGAAATGCAATTTTTCAAACAAACTAACTTTCCGAGCTCTACAAATTCCATGGTCACGGGGACATCGCGGTTTGTCCTAACAAAAACAAATATTTCCGATTTAGATCCGAAAAAATAGTTTCATGTCTGTTCTGTTTGTCTATTAGTCTGTAACCATTTATTGTGAGACACAATCAAATAAAATATATAATGTTGTGTAATAGGAAAAGTTGACTTTAATATGATGATGTGGAAGTGGTGTTAATATTTGGCAAGTCTCAAGGAACACACGACAGAGACTTAAGTTGCTGGCAGGGTTCTGCCTCTGTAATAGGTAGGCTAATTTGTTGGTTGGGTAATAGTAGTCAGTTCTTGAGTATTCCGTTCAGATCGTACGAGAAATGATATATACATTTATTACAATTACTACAAAATGTGATAATGACTGAGAACTGTCCTTGTCAGAAACGACGAACACAAACACAAAATCAAAAGAATCCAATAAAGATCAAAGCTATATTTTCTAATGGTAGACGAGATTTTTTATAAGTCCAGACAGAGAACAAGTTACAAGTGTAGCTATATTTATATTATAGAGTGCGTCTTCGGGAAGCGCGTCGTAACCATGACAACCGTAGGGCGCGTTCCAACTCCCGCCCCTGTGCGACACTCTAGTTCAGGGACACTTATCGTTATCGTAATAAATTGGTCTGGAATTCCACCAATAACTTCTGAGGAATCGCAATAAAACTCAGAATTTGTTGCTTCTTATGTCGGCACGTAATATCACAATTTTATTTACGTTTTGTTTGACATTTTTATCGTTCAAATATTTAAACGCGTCAGCTTTGTGTACGAAAGATAAAAAACATCATCTTCTCGACTTCCTACAATTATCAATGAGAATCTTTTGAGAAAGTATCTTGATACTTGATAACAATATTTGTTCTCCGCCTACTTTGTCCTAACGAAATGTAATTTTAAACACGCTTTGTGGAGTCCCGATTTATTATCCGGCGACTGATGATGATATATCGACGTCGGCTGCAGTGTTGATCGTCACTTACTGTACCCTTATCACGAAGCATGTAATATTGAATTCATTGCCCTCGGCTACACGCCTGTGTCGGAGACTTTTATTAAAGCAAAATATTTTGTAATATGAGGGGCTTACACATCTTTTTATTGTGATGCGCTCGAAGTTTGAATGTGAAATTTTTATTTTTTTGCAGGAATCAATTGGATATGAGACGATGAGCCATGGAATCGCGAAGCGCGCCGCCAAGCCCCGACGAGGCGGGGGAGGCGGTGTACGAGTCCCGCTGCGGCCGCTACCAGCCTTCGCTGCAGAGGACTTTCGCCAGCTGCCGCGAGACCGGCCGTCCACGCCCGAATCACCGCCATGCCACCTCAGAACCTGCAAGGCCGGACGACCGCGTTCTTACTACAGCCGAGGTTCACGATTACCCTTCGTCCGAGTCCGGCATCGCCGCCGACTGTCCTCACCCTCACACCAGCAACGCTGACGACAGTCCCTCCTACGACCGATCGGACTATGAAGGGAATTCGAGCTATAGTCTTAGGCGAACTCCCGATTATCACCACAATCTTGACTGTAAGCACCGTACTATGGATTACCGCAGTCACACCCCTGACTACAATCATGAACACACATCGGACTGTGATCGTGCACACGGACGAGCACAAACGTCTCGACGCCCGCACAGAAAACATCGAAGAGAAGAAGACGATGGTGCGCAGTCCCTTGACGAGCGATGTGCTCGAGATCTCGACGAAATCCTGCCAGCCAGATTGGCAGCAGTCAATTTATCAAGGGAACAACCTCCACAAACATGGAATAGGAGCAATATCGCGGCAACAATGGAGAGATTTGAACCAGTTGATTACTCTTACGCTTATTACGATCATCACTTATCAATGCCATCCTCTTCTAGAAAAACGAACCGGCAGCGTGGTCGCGGTGGAATATCTCGCGACCGTTCAGCTAGGCACAACTATGTTACTAGATATGGAACCGAAGAAAACATTTATGAGGAAATTACAGATGGTTCTCGGACATGTCCGAAACATCGATACGTTCCCCGCCAGTCTCTAGTATCCCTGGACAGGAGTGTAGTCGAGGAGGAAGTTCGTCGAGTTGAATCAAGACATAAACGAATTTTGGGAGAGCTAAATCTCAGCGTCGAAGCCATGTTAATGCCAGAGTGTGAATCCCCTGACTCGGAGCGAGCGGAAGATAGAGATAATATCGAAGAATTATTGAGGGTAGGTCCAACAGACGAACTACTTTCACCGGCTAGTTGTAATCCTCCAGATTTAGATAGCGGTTTTAGCGGGAGCAGTAGTGGTGCGAGTTATGTTGGTAGTCTGAGACGAAAACCAACGGGTTCCGTGCCACATTTACCAGCTGTAGCTTACGGGACACGTGGAGCAGGAGTACGCATTCTGGGCGCTGAAGAGTGTGGCATACGCTGTCCCAAAGACACCCCGTCACCCCGAAGTTCCAGTTGCGGCGATGCTAAAACGAGCGGCTTTTGGAACAAAAAAGCTTGGAAGAAGATATCGGGTTTCTCTAGTTCAAATAGTATCAACAAAGCTGGCCTTACTGGTAAGTTCCTGGCTTAAAGTTACGATATCTACTGATGCTAGTAATTTTCAATTACTGACAAAGAACAGTGCATGCTATTAATAAGCTAATATTTTCGACTATACAAACTTATTTATAAGCAAGTATTATTCGTTTCTGTATTTAGCTCAAATACAACTCAAAACCAAACATACATACCTCTAACAAGTTTATCAAACTAACCATCACATTTACCGACAGAATACTCACATTTTTCAGTCCAAATTGCACCTCGTACAAAGTTCCATTCTAACATAAAACGTATATGAATTCGCCCGGTATTAAGTCATGAAAACCCAGGGAGATCTTTTCTTTTTTTCTGTTTTCGCCTGCTTTCGTCCGCTCATAGGCGGTTTCAGATGGACGCGCGCGCGTGGTTCTGGTGTTTGATATTTTCGTTTTGGTTTTTTATTGTTTTTTTAACGGTACCGCGTTTTGCATTGCAGGTCTGCTCGTTAGGTACACTTTCCGGCGTAAGTCCGGCTCGCAGGGCTCTCAGGGCAAGCGGCGTGCCGAGCCCGTCAAATGCGATGCGTGCCTCTCACAACGATGTTAGCCGCAGTATGGTAAGGGTCCCAAAACACATCACTTGGCACTTACTGGCAGAAAGTATCCCAAACTACACATATAAAAATATTACTGCTCAATCTCTCACTGAGGAACAGTTCTAATCTTTTATTCATCGACTTTCTACCAGTAACGTAGTACCATTTTTTCTCATTGACCTTAAATTGGCTAGAGCGCGTCCATTCAAAAAAATTTTCCCCTCTTACCTCGTCGAGTCTTTCCTGTCTCTGCAGACAGTATTCTTGTAATTTTGTTATAACAAAATACTTACATAACACAGACAATCATTAAAAATAAAATATAAAAGATAAAGGTACAAAATGTACGAAGGTAGTTGTAGAGCGACGCGACGCGGCTGGGTCAGAAACGATTAACAAAGTCGATACAAAGTTCTCTCATTAAGGTATCGAAGATATTACTTTTGCGAACTTCGACTTACGATAAGTATTGTTCCCCAAGAACTGAGACAGACAATAGCATGCGCTACCACTTAATTAAGCTTTGATACGGTATCAACTATAGGAACAAGCGGAAGTTTTCAATAAATCTACCGAAGCCAAGTTGCTTACCCGAAAGTTCTAAGTACATATTTATGACTTAAGGTGAAATGTCTTGGTTACAGATGAAGCCTGTAGGCCAAGCAGAGCTAAATCCAGAACAGCTACTATACCCTACAGGTTAATAACTATTATATTTGTGTATCTTTCTTGTCTTATCTACTTGCTTTACGTTTTTTTCTATATATTACATTGTACTAATAATAATATCTCACATAAACCTGGACACGAACTCAACCTTTTGATAAAACTTTTTAGTATACAAAAATGCCACTGGCGCTCGTAAAATTCCGTTCTAATTACGTTTTTTCTTTGTTGCAGCTACTCCAACGGAAAACTGGTGGTGCCGCTGGATACCCTAGCACAGAGCTGAGGGGTTGAACCCCCTCTCCATTCCCGCCTCCAACTCCTCCGAAGGCCTTCTCGAAGCAAAAGGGCAGCGCTAAATAACGTGGTGGCTTAATACGACTGACACTAAAACCTAAGTGCATTGACTTTTCTGTGACGTGGGTTATAATGAATATTCTTAAATTTTCCCTTCACGGACTTGAATGAAACATTCCAATGACTTTGTTCGGAAAAACACAGTACAGTACGTCTCAAAGACTATCTGTAGGTGTTTTGTACAGAACCAGTGTATATAAAGTGATGGACATAAAGGCGAGTATACGTTGAAGTGATAGATGAGCCTAATATTTTTATTGTTACGAACGTTTCATAGAAACGCATTGACTACATTGTTGTTACTTATCAATTTTTAGTAGTAAATAGGTACAACAAAAGGCTGACAGTTGATCCGATTTTGTACGTGGTGAGGAATGGGTGTCATCTTAGTAATAGTTTCGTTTTGGACGTAATTGATGTTATTAATATGTATTATTCATAAGTTGTGTGTAGATGATCTTTCTTATATTGAATAAATATATTATGGATGAATCGACCTTGCTACGTATTATCTGTGGTAACAAAACAGCTTTTTACTAACTTATACTTAAAATTAAAATAACGATACACGCCAAGTTAATAGTTTTTTATTTTGCTAATTACATCGATACTTTAGGAAAGAAAAGACGTAATATCCAAATTACAAAGTTTGCAAGGACTTAAATGTTTTTGTTTCCTTTTTAAATTTTATAGCTATTTTTAAAAATTTCAACCAACTATATCAATTAAATTGGACAAAATTGGATTTTACGCCTTTTCTGCCTTATAAGTGTCATTACGTAAAATTTAAAATACGATACTTTGGAATACATGGCATTATTATTTAAATAATAAAAATTCCCAACGAACTTAGGTGTGAACACTAACCTGAAAATTACCCGTTTATTGGCTCAGGTCTCGGTCGGCAAAGAGAGCTAGAGGGTTTATTAGGTCATAGACTGCGACGCTGGCCTAATGCAAGTTGGGGAGTTATTGATGTAGTTGCGTTACATTTTCACACTCTTTCGATCTGTCTACTCAATGTTTTGTTATTCGCCAGAAAATGGCGTTATTACGTAACGTAAAGATATAATTAAAAAACAACCGTTTACAAATATTGATATTTACTCGTCTTGTAAACGTTGTGTTTTGACTATGCTATTATTCTTTGAATCATCGGTAACTGCAGCTATGTTACTAAATTTGACTACTATATTTTGTACCAATAAATTGTTTTAAAAATTTCAGCTAAATTGTGTTAATACATTTATTTTAGTTTCTTATATAATACCGTGTTTTGCGACGTTAAAAGTTGCATTCCTGGCTAAATACAAAAATATCAGAACGTCCTGCTTGACCTAATTATAATATAATTATCAGTAATAATGTATTAATAAACTAAATTTATCTCCTTTGTACTCTATATGGTATGTAATTTTCTAGGTATCCATTCTGTGCATTTGTTGAAACCATAGATATAGAAAAAAAGGGTTGATACTGCCGTGCTTATTTTGTAGAAAAGCATATTATTTGTGTAACAACGATTCTGAAAGTGGGCTATATTGAATTACATTTTTAAACATGATGAATAAATCTATTATTAAAAATAAAAACAAAGATGGCGTATTTGTAATTAAAAATTCAATCCCTTCGTCACGAATAGGCGTGCGCAAAAAGGTACGAAATTATTTTTTTGTTGTTGTAATGCATGAAAAAATGTATTTACAACTAATTTATCAACAAAATTACAAGCTGCTTCCATTTGTGTCGAAGGGAATGACGTGTTAAATAATGTCATTGTAAATTTTGTAAATAAACACAAAACAACATGGTGCACTTTTTATTTTATTTTACTTGTAAATAAATATGTACACATTTGCTTTATATTTTTTTTGTGCATTTCAAACAATAATATAGTTATAAAAATAATTTATATATGAAATTGTAAATATATATATATATATATATAAAACTTTTTAATGAAAACATACAACTTCGTTACTTTATTGTCACATAAATCCATAAATTCAAAACAAAGCTTTTGTTTGAAAATTTTTTAAATTAATCTTCCAAACATGTTTATATAACAAATTATGACATCACTAAAGTTATTTTAAAATATAATATTCTATACTTAACTGATATTATTTTCAAAGCACTTTTATCTCGACGTGGAATAGCACCAAAATGATCATAAGACGTAATCTTATATTTCATAATAATAAATACATAAGTGTAAATATATATGTTAAGTTGTTTCAATCAGTCATCGTCGGTCTGTAACTATCGCTCTAAGCACGACTGATACGCAGTAAATATTCCATTTGATGTTACATGAAATGCATATTTCTTTAACTGTATGTAATTTAGTGATCGTGTTCAAGTCAAAAGAGATTTTTATTAAATAAATCTTTAAAAAGTCTTTGGATTTCATTAATAACTTTACCATTCCTTCAATTAAATTTTTAGGCTGGCCTAAACTTTTAATTCCCCCATCGACCAACACTGATGTTGCTCAACGGGGTACAACTAAATTATCGCACCAAATTTGTAAAATTTACTATTTCCATCCGGATGGACACTTAGCATAGCGTGGTTTGTATTAGCTCACGTAGTTGCATGCAAAGCCAAGATAAGAAAATACGTGGTAAGTAGCGACGTGCTACACTATGGATACGTGCGGGGGTGGAGGGTGGCAGAAGGGTGACATATTTTATATAGCTTAGTGGGATCGTTGCGTAAGTTTTGTTTGCTCGGTTAGCTTAGGTCGCGTTGTGAACCGAAGTATGAATAGATGCCCCGGCTACGTGAGCTAAGCTAAGATAGCTTCGTTCCTGCTGCGTATGAATGGAGTTAGCCTGTACTACGCCCATAGTCCAGGTAGCCCCGGTTTGGTAATGAGTCACAGGTTCGAGTCCAGCCGGATCGAAGGATTTTTTCTTTGTGTTTGTTCTATCTTTGTATCAATAATAATAACAAAGTTGTGGAGTATGTTCAATAAAAAAATATATCAATTTCATAGTAAGCAAAACATTATGATAATCAATAAAATAAATATTTCACGTACGACATAAAAACCTTGCGAACAATTGTTTATTAAGAACCCCATTAACAAAGGTTCAGCGGTTCAATCTGTAATCCTAGCATCGTGGCTGCAATTGTTTTTTTTTGTAATAGCAAGGGACAGGACGAACAAGTCGTGCGCCTATTGTTAAGCGACACGCCTGTTCATAACAGTTGCAGTGCCACTTAGAGCTTTTAAACGCAAATATCTGAGGGTCATTGCCACTGCGCCCGTCACGTTAGGACATAACTTGACAAGTGCCACGAGCCTGTTATTTCACCAGAACCCTTACCCTTCAAAACTGGAACGCAGTAATGCCCATAAACCGTTTGGCTGTAGAAACAAGTATGGTGGTGGTAGTATTTCCCTGGACGAACACTTTCACAAGGAGCTCTACTGCTACATACGACTGCTACTAACGGTTTCTTTTAAAGCACTGTCGTTCGGCTAATCTTCATGTCGGTTGATTTAAAACTAAAGCTTTAACTGCTTTTTAAAAGTACTGCGCCTGTATACCACACAGTGCTGGTATAGGTAAGGTTAGAAATTGGCAGGAAAAAAGCACTGGAATATAAAATTGTCGCGCATTTTCGTATGAGAATACTTTTTGCACCGTACGTCGTACACGAGTTGAACTTTTCGTACGTGTACCATTACTCTCGTACTTTTACTAATCTTGACTACACGTTGAAAAGCAGGCTAGCGTAGTCACGCAACTCCGGTCTGTAGGACGTCAACGTCCATTCAGACTTCGGAATCAATGACGTCACTTACGAAACAGCAGAAGATCAAGAAACGTGGACGATTTTAAAGATTTTTTACTCTGCAGTAAACACATGACTGTGACAATTAGTATGTAATTTTTCATAGAAAAAAAAAGGAAATTTTCGTGACGAAACCTGCATATGCAAACCAATTTAATGATGTATGTAAAGTTCCCAATATGCTTTGGACCCCCATGGGAAATACAGCCCAAGCCACTCTCATTGTCCCTGCAGTGGGACTAATATATAGGCTAACTTACATTATTTATGATAACAGAAACACGTGTCATGTGAGTCTATGACCCTACTGCAAAGGACTATAAAGCGCATTGGCCTCGCTGATATTATGCCCTTAATGTTTAAGAATGCACAAAAAATAGTTATTTGTTACACAAGCCTGCAAGTTTAAAAAGCACAAAACACAAAACAACTTTGATGACAAGCGAAACACACAATTTTTCACTCACTATCGCGAGGAAAATGGTAGATGAAAGAAAAACATTTGAACAATATATAACAAGTCAGTTTTATTCATTTATACGTCAAAAATTAGTTATCGTCATTGACTTACAATTATATGGACGTCGGGTCCGCGCTAAAAAGTGTCCGAACTTATAGGGCGTTAAAATCGTATACAGAGCGTCATTCACGCTTTAGTCTTCGTTTGTTTCTTCTGACAGCGAAGCAAGCAAAATTAGACAGTACTGCGATGACATTACAATTTAAATTCAACGTTTTAGCTTTTTCATATTCCTTTACATGTCACTACGTTTAAATAGGTTGACTGGGGACATTTTTTCCGTGGTTTTTGTATTAGACCCGTCGTCCATTTATTTGTAAGTCAATGGTTATCGTTGTTGTTAATGTCAACAATAACAAAAATAAAACATACCAACTAAAACGTGTCATCATGATTTTTTTCATCGAAAGAGAAAGTTAGGTTCGTTCATCACAGTCCATCGTCAGGTTCGAATTTCGAAAACCTTTTCCACACTACCGGGGAGAAAACGCTTTTGCCCGTACATTTCTATTGAAAAAGAAAGCTTCTCCGAGCTAGTGAGGTGAAAAAAATATTAAACACGCACATAGCATCAAAAAATGCAAGTACCGAAAAAGCAAAATACTATTATTATTCCAAAATATCCAAGACCTGTATAACACATACATAAGGTACGAATTTCAATAATGAACTCTTCTGTCAGAATGACCTTGATTTGCATAATATCATCCACCAATGACAACATAATAATTACAGTGCTCGAAAAGTTCGAACAGAGCCACTGAGATTCTCTAAATAGAATTCTATTGTCATTCCTCAAATAGCCCTCTCACAATGCTAAATAAACAATAAAAAGAAATGTGTACCTATGCTACCAAATCCTTTTTAAAGCGTAATCACACTCACAAAAATAAATGAACCTAAAAAAATTAAACCTAATTGCCAACTAGAATGTACCCAGCTGTGAGATTTCCTTATTTAGTAAATGGACCTGCCATTCATAAGTACGCTTTCATCTTCACGCTGTACAACATCACAATGCCTTGAATAAGTATAAACAGGGGAGAATACTGGGTCTTTTGTCTGACTCAAAGGGTTAATTGTTTAATTGCTAATAAAAACAAAAACAGCATTCATCATTTGAATTGCACAGCTGCTAGGGAAAATTATAAACGCTATAAAAGGAAGAATAAGCAATGAGTTTAAGTAAATTCTGCTCAAAATATGCTTATTGTGTCTTATCTTTTGTATTTTGGGTTCCGCCCGTGAATAAACCTTCACCCACAGGACCCACTACAGTATTAGTGTTTTTTAACAGTTCTGCTGAAAATAAACCCAGCAATTTCTTAATTTCATAGGTCATATTAATAAGTAAGTGTCGCTACTATACTATAATCGATAAAGAACAATGCCCATTTTGGATTCGTAAATTTTTTAGTCACGACCGGTCGAAAATTTATATCCATCTAAAAATACGTTATAAAATAATACAAGTTTCATTCATAAAACTTTGAAATAAACTGGAGACAAACGATATGAATTTTTAAAAATACTTAAAACCACATTGTAAATATTTTATACTTTTTATACTTTTTTATTTTTATACTTTTTTTGAAAGTAACACGACTTACATTTTTGACATTTTAATTTAAGCCTCGTTTACAATTGCCATGCTTTCTTCAACGTTGAAATAATTATGAACAAAAGTAACAATGATTGTGACACTGATTAGTCTACCATAACTTATACTTTATTCTCAACTTCAAAGTTATTAGAAAATTCAAGAAGAAATTGTCTCATCGTTGGAGCAATCATGTGAAGTGTAAACGAGACTGCAAATCAAAATTTCAAAATCTCAGTTTTACTACATTCAAAAATAAAGGCTAACAACGCAATCAACTCTATCAAAGTATTTTTGAAAAATCGAATCTTTTTTGCATCATTTTTATCTCATTCGTCTGTCGCAACGAATTTCACATCGTTCTTTGTGGTGAACGCAAAAGTACTTCAAAAGATGGTATATATTCTTAGTTCAACTATTCGTGACACGTTCGCGAAAGCCGAATTAATTAATTAATTTATTCATTACCACCATAATTTATAAATTTCTTTTGCAAACCTAAGACTCAACTCACACTGGCGCAGAGTCGTAGCGTCGCGTCGCGTCCTGTTTTTCAACTACAACGCTTGGCGAAGCGCGTCGACGGTGGCATTAGTGCGCCCGG